GTGTGACGGATCCTGCTAAAGGGTAAAGCCACTTTACCCTTTAGAGGCCGTCCATAAAGTACGTACGCACGAAATGCCGACTTTTCAGACCTCAGTCCCTCTGTACGCATGGCGTACGCAGTGGCTCCAACCTCCCTCCCCGGTACGCATACGCATTCCGCAATTCCGGAAGATGCTGCCAGTCTTTGTGTCATGAGTAATGTCGCGGTTTTCTGATAATGGGCATTGGCATAAAAGGATAAATGGTCGGGTGGACGGTGGAGGATACTGTGTTTGAATGGTTTTGTTTTTCGACGCACAAAAGCTGATTCTGGTATTTATTTGTATGAGAAAGTGTATTATTATGATGAAGATTCATTACAGGCAAATTTTCGGTTTGCGCACGGTACGCACCCCTACGCATGGTGTACGCAACGACACCAGCCCCCTTCCCCCTCGTGCGTGCGTACTTACTAACCTTTCTCCACTCAGGAGTGTGTAAATGGGTCCCACCACTAGCCAAGGAGTAACCCATGAGACTCACATCCCATTATATACAGCCAGAGAGAGTAGAGTTCCAACGTATGAGTCACTTACTCGGGGGCGGGGCAACAATATCGTAGGTTGCTGATCTATAGTAGGATTCCATTTTACGCTGTCATAACTTGCCAGTGCAAACTCGTTTTCAACCCATTTACATCAAATGCACATCATCTTGATTCTTGACGTGACTCCGTGTATACACAGAAATGACTGAAGTCAACCGCCATGGTGTCAGCGTCCAGTGCCGCGAGCCCAACCCGGTCCTCGTAGACATGTACAAGGAACTGAACCTCACGCGTGGCGGACTGGTCTTTGTGTATCCGGAGTGCACCAAGGTCAGCCGTTGTGACAGAAGCGGATGTTGTCAGGGTGGCGCCCCCTGCGTGGGCAAACAGAGCGCACGAGTGAACATCACTAAACCGGTGAGTAGGCAAACCAGCCCTCGTCCACAATCTGTGTTTTCTTCGCCGATGTGTCTGAGCACGGTTCTGCAAGGGGCGCAAGTCTCAATTAGGCCTACGCGGTGAAAGTTACCAGTCCTGCTGTATCCCTGTAGTGGTTACTCCCACGGTATAATGAAACAAGACAAAGAAATCGAGTGTTTGTTGAATTTGTTCACTGAAGATTATTTTAGCTATGCGGGAATTAACGTTGTCGTTGATAATGCCCAAGAACCGTACCTTGTTGGAGATTTAACATGCATCTTCCCATTTTATCGTAAAGGATACTGGAGTTGATTTCTGTGATTTTGATGATGGTATTTGTGAAATTGTAGGGATAAAGCAGATTGTGCTTGATTGATGCATGATTTCTTTTTCAGTTTATCATTGTGACAATCAGGCATGATTCCTCCAGACACAAAGACGCACGTTATCTGAAGCACAGCGTCTATGCCGACACGGAGTGCATGTGCAAGGAGCGGCCGCAGATTCCCGTCTGCCAGCCGACCGTCTGTTCTCAGACCATGTCCTTTGACGCAGTCACCTGTCGCTGTCTGTGCAACAAGCCCTGTCCCAGGCCGTACATACAGGACCCGGACACATGCGACTGTAGATGCGACCAAAAAGATGGTGGCTGCAAGAAGATCAAGCGCTCCAGGCGGAGAATGGCTGCCACCGAGTGCACGTGAGTTTCACCCCTATAATACACCAGTGTAGTCTTACTGAGTCCGGTGGCAAGCTTTTCCAATGAACTGAATTACTGAGGCATTCCCTTGTCTTTGCCCAGACCAGCGGTCTTGTAACCCGACTTATTTCAGCACCATTTCAGTCTTGCAATCACACTTTGGTCAATTCCTCTCACTAAAAAGCGATTGGAATTTAGTTGGTATACCCAGCACAGAGCATGCTTGCATACCAGCGTCCACATGACATTGTGTCCATCACTTTGCTGCCATGCCCAATTGCAGAGTCCGTCGGGACACAGTCTAAATATTTCGGTTTTCGAGATATCTTTAGATCCCATCAATTCAGTAGACCCCAGGCAGAAAAACAGGGATAGTTTACTTGTGATTAGGTTTGGTAACGTGAGCAGTATCGTCTCCTCTGGATAGTCTTGCTGACAGACCCGTCTATCTCGATGGTTACACGTATACGTCTAAAAAAGGCGGCTTACTTGATACTTGGAAGCTTTTTTGCTTGCGTGTTTTTAGATGTGTAATGGATAATCGTTGTCTACAACCAGCGTGCAACAAGGGCTACACGTTCTCCACAAGTTCTTGTAAATGTACAGCCACAGGTAGCAAACAGCGCAACCCAAATCGGAAGCGAGATCGTAACCGAGACGGGCGAACAGACACCCATGGCGATTCACCCCACCCACCACCGCCCGACCGCCGAGGCCGCACAAACATCGACCAGGTGGTGCCTTTTGACATGTCCAGCGGCCCCAACGTCGTCTCGGATAGCTTGTCCTCCGGCAGCGACGACCAGGAGGAACCTCTCAGCCACGACGGGCTGATGGTCAGTTGGGCTTCTCATGAAACCGGCGAATCGGAGGACTGTGGGGCGTCCTGCCAGCACCAGAAGGTCCCCCAAGGAAGTGACAATGGTAGTGGGGGCGGAGGTGGGGCGGAAGGGGGTGTGTTGGATTTTTAAAATCAGCGCGAAAATCCTGGCTCCTGGGGGTGTGACTTGTGGGAGGGAAATAAGTGGTGAAGCAACTTGTAACAACTCTTGAGTCGTTATCATTCAGTCACGTTATTAGCTGGAACTTTTAAAAAAATTTTAATCTTTCCCATAGGCCTATTTTCACCTCGAAAAGTTGAATGTCTTTTTTAGAGTGTACACCCTCCCAGGTATAGTCTGATGGTTTCATGCACGGGCACCCATGAACCTTTTGCTATGCAAACAAGTAGTGTCGGTGAAACCAAACCCGAGCAACTCCGAGCTCTTCTCGCATACGTTCCTGGTTCCCACCCAGCCCCGAAGGATGTGCCGCGCTAATAGTTCGGCTGCGGCCTTACCTGCGTCCAGCTGCACAGGTGATGCCTTTGGGTCAGATGTACAGAGCCCTCTCTTCTTTAGGCATTGGTTAGTTGGTTCACACGCCCCAGTTCCGTCTAATGAAGCAATGACTTGTATTGTATGAAGTATAAAAAGCCTTTTGCGAGTTAAATTTGAATAAAGTCTGGTACGATATGTTGTCCGATTGCACATAAACATAACAATCTGAATTTCCCAGGGTAAAGACACCATTGTTACACCCCGTCAATGTGACTCGGGCAATTCAAGCTTTTGCATAGCGACCGCCTTTTTTGGGATGGACTGGTTCCTTTGTACCCTTCTTATCCATTGACAAGAGTGTATTGGTGCAAGATGTTTCTCAATACGTAACTTAGTAAAAGCTTGCCCGAATCACTAGGTATAGCAACAGTATCTTTAGTATGAGAATCCAAATTGATATGTTCACGAGAATTCAAGGAACCCATTACACCAGCTTTTATTCAAATTTAACTCGCAAATAGGCTTGTTGTTAAAACGCCCGTCAGTCGCCGTCTTGTTTGCATGACAGAATATATTATAGTGATTGAAGTCTGATAGATTTAAAGTACTTCAGCAAATTCGCTTTGGTTTATTTCTTGGAAGCCACCAAAAGGGCCAATTTAGATTAAACATTTTTTCGTACTTTTACTGTATTTAGCATTCAATGTACATTGCGCTGTACTAGAGGCCTACTGGCATGGACAGCAAAAAAATGAAGTCGCCTCGGTACAGACTAATTTTTCGCGCACCCAGGACATGCGCAACAGGCGCCACCTTTCTTATTACGTTGTGTTTGCAGCTGTTGTGGGAGTCTCCATTAATGAACGGATAAACCTAACAGCAACTAAAAACATACCGACATACATTCACCAAAAGCATTGTGAACTGAAATTTTAGAAACCAGAGTGTTAGGCGTAAAGTAGAAAATGAATTGGATCAGTGTGAAGTTCAATTTTATTTGTGAATTTTTAAACGAAAAAACCTTGCGAATTCAAAATCACCCCTAGAGCATAATGGTATGATCCAATAAGGCGGCTGTTCCAAGCATGATGATTTTCGTCAACAAAAAGTACGATTTCTACACATTAAACCTCCCTTGTTTTAAAACATAATTCTTTTCGCTTATAATTATTAATGAATCAACTGAGAAAGGAGTTTTAGACTTTCATCGACGTGTAAAACTGACATGAAAGTGCGGTCATAAGCACGATCGCGCGTGCACGTGCATTTTCATATAAGCCTACTCGGTTCGATGTCACAGACACGAGTCGACTGCTGTGTCCCTGGATGAAGCTTTTCCATGAATCCGCAATGCTACATTGTTGAGGAGGCGCATTACTCCAAGGTAAATTCACTGATTACTCCTAACCGTTGAAAACTGCTCCTTTCTTTAAGGGAATGAGAACCTGTCATGCTTGTTTCCCACCCTGACCCCGCGGACGATGTTCGCTTGTCCTACGAACGCCCTATAATCCATAGATTTCACGCAAGATAAACTACAAGACCGTCGATTTAAACATTGAAAATGCCGTGCTGTTTTTTTTTCTCACAAAGCAGTTGACTCAAACATGAAACAAGTGAGTGAAATGTACCGGTAAACCGGTAAGTTGCAGTATATATTACACACCGTAATCAGCCAATCCTGTGAAATTACGACAAAAAACAATGCTGTCCATCACCATTAAGAAAGGGGACCCTGACTCACCTGAAACCTGGTAAAATAACGTAAATCTTGTTCCTGTCTTTAATTAGTATAAATGTACTTGCACTTCTAAGACTTGAAGCAACCGATAGCAAGAGTATAGTATCAATATAGTCATGCAACAGTTTACATGAATGTGGGTACAGGCATTAATTCCAACTAACGACCAATAACTGTAATACAAATGGCGGCTGGTACGACAGCAATAGCTGTAAATCCCGCGTTCATAGCCGTTTTCGTGTCAAATGTAAAAAAGTGGATACCTTCACTAATTACTGCAGCGTTTTGTGTTGTCGAATGGCAACATTTACCAATCCTCTGTCGCAAACGTGTACCCCACAACATTCGCGGTGATGACTTTATTTACTGCATTTAGCACAGACGGACGGCTATTTGGCGGAACAATCATTGTTGCTTTTTCGGTGTTGTACGGTTAACTTTGGACTCTGGTGTCAGTTTTTGCTTCTTTTCAGACCTGTAATACAGTTAGATCTACAATTATTAGCTATCGATGTTATTGGTGTTATTTATTATACTCTGTCCGTGCTGCCACAGTTGTCCATCCTTTTAAATGTAAATACGATTTAAAATATTGAAATGAATGTAGAAATTATATTTAACAGGACAATCGACCATAGATACTTTGACGGAATGTACTGCTGGTCCATTACTTCTGAAATACATGCGTGATTTCTTTTCGTTTTGTTTTTGTTCTGGTACTGTTGCGTGTATTTTCACGTCACATACATCAAGGTCACGTCACGCGGTCATTGGTAATAACAAAACTAATTACACTAACAAGTAACTTCGGCAAGTTAATCTATTTACATAATCAAAATGATTTTAGATCTTTTGGCAGATATATCTTTACTACTTTTCGGTGATACAAATTTGAATATGAGGGCTGTCCTTCACAAACGTATTTTAGCATTGCTCGGTGCTTAATAAATATTAATTGCTATTTTGAAACCAAACGTAAGACAATGACGACCAAATTCACGTATAAACAAATCAGTGGGCCTCCGGCATAAGTTGACTTAAGGAATTCATTCTCCGTCTCCCCTCCCCTTTTAGCTGTTGATGTGAGAAGCGTCACTAATTTAACCTCTGTTAAAGGCATATAGCTACTAACTTAATGCCACTGGGCAAAATGGATGCATATCACTTTATTCACTTACAAAAGCAAACATCTCTCTTAAAGGAGTCGTGAAATAGAATTTTTTTATACAGTGTATTAAAAACCCTTGAAATTGCATCTTTGGGCTTCAATTAACCTTGCTTTCAATTTTTGTTGATGATGTCATCCAAGGCACAGAATCTCAATGTTGCACAGATTTGTGCAAAGAAAATTTCTAGATTTTTTTATAACCACTGCTGTGGCTGATTTCATTTAATTCGGCAATTTATTGCTCTGTAAGTATATGGCAATAACTCAGCAAAAATCTTTTTCATACAAATGTTCCCAGATAGCAAATTTTGGGTTCACAATTTGAACATGAAAACATGTAACCTGAGCCATGTCTTCCGGGATTTACATCAAAGCAAAAGCGCCCTCTCTTGTCCAGAAATGCTTGGTCAATTTTCAATGTTTGAAAAGGTGCACCGTTCAGTTCATGTAACTCAAAAAAGATGTCAAACAGTCTTCATACATCGAAGAAGAGTACAGAGATTCACGAAAAGTGATTCAAAGGAAATTTATTTCCTGGATCCTTTAAGGCCGGCTCATACTTAGCGCGAAAGCGAACACAAACACGAAAATGTGAAGTCAGATCATATACTCGCGCTGCGAATTCACAAAAGTTGAACACATTTTCAGCGACAGGGAATTTTGATGGACATGTTTCGGGACTTCAAATTCGCTTCGCTTTCGCCTGAAGCACGAACCAACTTTTGCTGTTTGCCTATAAATTAAAGAACCCTGAGCATCAATCCATAAATATGAAATCTGCTTTTATTTTGCCGAAGCGGTGTCTTGACTAAGTAAAAGTTCTGTTTGAAATGTAGGGTGGTACACTGTACCCAAACAGTTGAAAATCGGTGGAATAGCGTCGGTAGAGGTCGCCAATGTCAGCCGCTGTCAGCTGTGAAAAGAATCTCCGTATCTTGCTCTGTTTGGAACTCCCAGTCGGGTTAGTTGAATCGGGGAAGGGCTGATTTAAGTTTGTGGCTTTGATGATAAAATCAGCATCTTCCTTTAAAGTGCTGTAGTTGCCGATGTAGTCGTACTTTATCATGCAGGGTTGACACTGGCGGTACATTTCTTGCCAGTGCGGTTCAAGGTTTTGGTTTTTTGGATCACTGATGTAACGGGAGAATTGTTGGAAAGATATGTTCAAGGTGCCATCCTTGAGTCTCTGTGTGTTGCTGACGTCACCGTAACGGACCATCTCGACAGCACTGGTTTCCCTGAAATGCTTGCTGGCTGGATAGTCCATTTGGAATTTGTCAATGTAAGCGGACAATATGCGTTCAAAGGGATGGCGGACAAACAGGAATTTCTTGTACTCCTTGAGGAGACGGGTTGCAGTGGCAAGTGGGTACGAGCTCAGAGTGCGCATGTGCGAATCGGTTGCCAAGTGAGTCTGTCTCTGCTCGATCTTCTTGACGGAGGGAAAGATTCCCTTGGCAACGAGGAGAATCCGCTTCCAATTGGTGCAGCTGACCTTGGGGACGTAACAGTAGATGATCTTGTGCGAGTCCAACACGAGCAGGTGAGACATCGTTCGCAGGGTCTCGGGCGTCAGCTGGTAGTGCAAGGCCGGTGATATGTGCTTGTGTACGGCATTAGCGCAAGTCTCTTGAACGCGGCGGTGGCGACGGTCTTGCTCACGCCACCAACGACAGGCCCTGTCACAGGCTTCGTGGGCAAGTGTGTTGGATTTGTGAAGTACACGTACTTGGTTCTGGCTAGTACTGGTCATTTGTCTGTTAGGTGCCGGCTTAGGAATTCCAATCGTTCGCTCCCATGGTTTTGAAACTGAAGAGCTCATATCTTCACCACTCTCTTCCTAAATAGCGAGGGATGCAAAAAAGGCATATGACCTAGACTACCTTCTGCGCAGTAAAGATGATAAAACGACCACATCTCTTCTCGCAAAAATGTGCACGTACACATTTGGAGCAGCAACTCCATTGGACAAAGTTGATTTTCATTCGAACCTGACTCCTCACTGATTTGAGCGACCAAACGTGTACAGTCGACTCTCAGTAATACAAGCTAATTCAGTAACTCCCGAGGCCCTCGTATTAACGAGAGCCGACTGTATTTAGTGGCACCGAAGTTTGGCGTCAAACTTTGATTACATTCATTTGGTCCATCTGGGCCTTACCTGAGCCTGACTCGATTCAGATTGAGATCTGTTGACACTGTGCCTTAGGGCCTTCTTAAACAAAGCCTCCTCGTCCATTTTATCCCACCAGTCGTCCTCTAACCGGAGCAACCGAGGACCAGGAGCTGGGACAGGGACACGGTCAATCTCAACTTTGGACATATCTGAAGAACAGAAAAAAGACCACAGGAGCGAAATCTACATCTGCTCTCTTCACGCAGTAAAGCGTGAAACCACCTGTCCAACTCGTTTCTCAAAGCGATATAGAATTCTCGGTTAATGGATTCATAATCAGTGGTACTTCAGGGTTTGTAGCCCTATCTTGAAGATTAATTTTGTTCTCGGAAGAAAACAGTGACATTCGGAATTTATGTAAAATATTTTGACAGAAATGGTAGTGGATACTTTGACAACGGAAGACAGTCACTGGTTGTTGGGGATTGAAATCTTGATGAGCATTGGCTACTGATGCATGCCGCGCATATGAGACTACATGTACTATGTATTTCGGTGATCACGTCCCATTAAAGTTATCGTAATCCACCATACGTTATCGTTTCCATCAAAAGAAAAAGCATAGGCCTACTTTACAATTTTGCACAATCTCCTGGGTTCTTTAAAGCTGTGGAGATGACCTCGATGCAGTGAGGCTCTAATTATATGTCATGACACTCGCTTTCCGTTTGGAACCTGGCCTGATTGTCCGACTTTGGCTTAAACATATCCTAAACCAACAAGTATGACTGCGAACCGGAAAGCTGTGCGGGTTGATACACAGCTTGTTGAGAAAAACAATACCTTACCATTTTGAGTCCAGGTTGTCATTGTGTGTTGCATGCTCAGGGTTCCCACCACTGCCATGACTGAGACGACCAAGAAAAGAAGGCCCAGCACCAGCTTGGAGCGGTGCCGTTTGGAGTTGCCTCGGACAGCCATTGTTGCTGTATATACCGAGCGGGATCAACCTTTCACGGTACGGTCAGGCATACAGACAGCGCATTAACACCATGATGACATTACTCACTGTTCCACTGCAGTACACTGCCAGTGAGTGTCACGATCATCCGGTAACTTGGTCGCAATCGCGCGCTGCATGCACAGCTAGCTCAGTTATACACAGTGACTTCAGGCAGATTCCTGTGCAATAATCTCTTCCCGTTGATGTGACGGCTATCGCACAGGATGGAACAGCTTCTACATGAAGATGATATAAGGGGTTATTGTAGTTCGTTGATAAGGTGCGTATGGATCGCTAGTGAATATAAATTTCATATCAGGATTGAATCCTTCAGTGTGTACGCCGAAGCGTCAGAGCCAGCATCTTGCAAGATGTTGAGGTCAAAGTGCATACATAATGTCTCTTACAAAGTAGACTTGCTCTAGTCGGTTAGAGACCTTCAATCGAGGGTAAGCCTACAGTACGTGATAGTACCTCTTTCACCTTCAGAGTTAAGCATAAACAAACATAAGCCAGTTTGACCTCCCCATAAATTTGTGGATTTTACGATTAGATGTTGATTTAATACACTGCAGTGAAATCTCCCAGTGGGTCGTCTTTCTCCGTGGGCAAAACAACATGTGACCTTCCTAAACCTCGGATAAGAACGGCATGGCTGCAAAGCAGTCATTGGCGATAGTCGATAACAACCAAATTTTCAAGTTGAATTAAATATTAGGCAATATGTCACAGTGCTGGAGGAATTCAATTTTGTTGAAAGTACAAAACGAATTGAAACCGACAGAGGCTTGAATTTAGGGACACACTGACAGAAAAAGTCCACTTTATATAAATTTTGATCAAAATGGAATGACGTGTGACCCACATTAGCGTGTGATCCCCTTTGAATTGCTGAATCGGCTTGGTTCATGAAGCATGTTGATAATTATATGGAAACTCATTCGGCTCATACCTGTGTTTTAATATTGCGCAAATACGGGCGTTTCACAATGGTGCACCTGCAAGAGTTTGCATCGCACTGGCCAATGACAATGCACGAAATCTGTCGACCCAGTGCGCGTTTGGAAAGGGTCGACAGATTTCGCGCATATGTGATTTGCCAACGTATTGAGTATCATCTTTTTAAATTCAGAGTTGAGTGCTACTGTCGTCTGCGGATCTTGCACAGCGCCCTCTCTCATTAAAACAAACACCGTGTTACGGTCGCGTTTTCTCATCGAGGGCAGCTATTTCATGAACAACTTCCAATTGTGCATGACACGAGCAGACTGAATGTACGTATAGGGCTGTAGTCCATTAATTTAAGCCTCATTGAAAACAGTGTAAAATCAGCATTGTTCGGGGCCCAATAATGCATACCAACATCCCTAAGGCATCTGAAACACACGTTAAATTATTGTATGGTCCATAATCTTTCAATTTCTTTTCAATTTTCTGTGGGTTAACTGATGACATTTTGAGTTATTCCCTCAACACAAAATTACGATTTTTCGAGTGTCCTCTTGCAGCTATTTTTCAATTGGCAACCCTCAAATTTCTCGGGCACTTAAGAGTATTTTTCAACAGTATTTTTTAGCCATTCTGCTCTCAGATGAAAGTTCAAAGACCCATAGAGTTGATCCTGGCAAGGATTTACACAATCTCACCATTTTGGGGGCCATACAATCTCCTTTTTCAAAAGATACTGTTGGCGCATTTGTAATGTTAATGACCTGGCAAGAAATGTTCAGTTGAATTAGTAGACTGCACCCATAGATGAATTAATTAAGGCAGCAAGTATAATTATGTATAACCCATAACACTTTACTGTGAATATCGCGAATTGGAGTGGGTGATCTGAAGAGGCCTGAAATGCCTACTTCCAGTTTGAACTGCCGAAAAGGCGTGCTGTCCCCCATACACGTATATAGAGGTTTTTCAGTAACGTGATTTTTGACAGTCAGCCTTCAATATGCGCAGAAGTGCGCGGAAATGCGCGCGCCTTCGAAGTCTCTCATCATTCTGGCGTATGTGAAATTGCTAACTGAAAGACGTTACGCAGATTCGAAAATGCACGCACCGCTGCAGACTTGGAACGCTTCTTGAACTGCCTTTAATTTTTTTGCTGGTCAAGTGACGTCACATGAAAAACCTCCATAGACTAATCCTATTAGGTGCCATAACTGCGGTGGCACCGCTCTCATAGTATACACACATTCTTCATCTTGAAGCTTAGTGACGAGCACGAGCATTTTGGCATATCAGTACATCCTATTGGTCCAACAGGCACGTAACGCGTGCCTGCCACCTGTCTACGAGCATTGTTCCAGCGCAGTAATGGCTTCTAATTTTGGTTGCCGAATTGCACTAGACACAATCGGTCGTCTGTAGAATAGTACAGCACCCACACCTGTCTTTCAAATGGAACAAAATACTTTCCTTAAAGGGGCAGAATATTCTTTAGAATAATTTTTCTTTTGAGACGGGGAACAAAATATCCTATAAAGGGGGACATGATTTCTTAGGAGAAACCAAATTGTCCGGGTTGGGCAGAATGTCTTGATTAAACTGTAGGACATTCTGTCCGGCGGGACACAAAATTTCCTGGAGGACAAAATCTCCTTTTACACCGGTGTCTGGTGTACGCCACGCCTAAGTTAATGGATCTACACAGCTTGCTTGAAGTTGAAATCCTTTTTTTAAATTCACCCTCCATGGCTCATAGATAAATTCTAGTCCAATACTCTGCTATTATTTGCCTATCGAGGCCTAGCATCGTAAGCGTGTATTTTTGGTTACATCTGGCTTACTGGTAGTGGGAGAGTTGAGGGGTCACTCTCAAAGAAGTTCAGTTCAGTCCCTTCGCCCTGACGTACTACGTGCGCAAAACTCTCTCGCGCATCCCTTCGCGAACTTTTGTAGCTCGCTGGCGTTTTTGAAGCAGGCACAAACACCCAACAAAAGAGCCTGAGCTGGTGGCCCTCTCGACCAGTCGACGCTATTGTGATTTTGTACGCTTCAATGGAGCAATTTCCAAGGTCGATGTGGGGACCAATATAACTGCAGAGTGAACAGAGTACACAAACAGCTCGATTGCACCGGAGCGGAGCTCCTGGCCTGGAAATTGTGCTCTGAAAAGCTTTTACCATACTCGAAGATGAAGAATGTGAGATAAGGTAGGCCGTTTTAGTTAATATGCATAGGTTTATGCCGGTGAAATAAGGCTACTCATCTTTCTTAAAGTCTTTGGTGGGAAATGCAAGCGGTTGACGAACAGAACGTGAGCCATGTTGTGAGTACGGTGACAGTTTTTGTCCAGGATCGTTATTGAAAAAGTAATGCGAGTTCTGAATTGCACGGGCGCATGGAAGGGTACTGTTGACGCCGTGGGCGGGATAGTGCTTGAATACACCGCGGTATATTGCTTTATGGTAAAATAAAATTAAACGGTAGACCTGTATCCGGCGTTTAGAGGACTACATGGACATGATATCTCAACATCAATCAGATACGATAATTGAATTCCGTGGATCCAGCATGTATGAAGTACTGTAGTAAATGTACACATGTGTACTCCCAAAAAGCAATGTGACGCTTGTAGGCTTTTTAGCCGCTGTTATGAAACACCGTATAGGATAGTGTATACATTGTAGCTCTATGGTGTATACGTGCATAGGTTGTTGTGTTATTCCAGTTGAATCTATGTCGCTTCATTGTTACCCTGTGACACAGACATGTACATGTATTAGAGACTGAGCAAACTTTGACGGAGCCTCTGTGTACGTGTGTCAGAAGTAAACATTTGGTTCAGAGCTGGTCGGACTCGTTCTGAGATTGCGGTTCCCTTTCACACGTGAATGAGTTATTAACCATAAACGACTGCAGTGTTTTCAAAATTCTGCCCCTTAATAGCATTAATGAGTGCTCATTCATTTCGGGAGACGACGGTAGGAACTTAGGAAGGAAGACATGTAAAGCGCTATGCATACGGCTTTAGTATAGAATGGTCCGTCTGTGAACAGGACGGTTTAGCCAGTCCAGACAGTTTCCATGGTAATGAATTAGTTCCTTTTCCAAACTTCGTCCTGGGCGTTGGTCCAAAATTACAACATGTCTTCCCGAGTACTCGATCAGTATTACGCAACAAGTAATCGGACTCGATATCTTTGCCCTTGTGCTGCAGGCGTGCCACCACATCGGTTGATATCTCTACGAAAAGTTCGGAGATTAATTAAGGCCCTTGTTATTCCCACTTAAATTGCATGATTTGGAATGAATGGATTAGGCCTTCGTAAATGTGGTTGGCGAAATACTCAGGATAGAGGTCCCTTCCTAAAACACGAACACTAATGCTGATGCCTGGTGAGTTTTTCAAGTTGTTTTCTGTACTGTTGATTTCAGAGTGGTACTAGAGTGGTATGCCTGGGCAGTAGAGCTCTGAAATGTCGAAAATTTAAATTCATAAAATACACGCTTAAGCTATGTCATGAATGAATACAGCTATAATTACAACTGACATCGCACACAACCAAAGATTCACTCGTAGGGAGGTCTCAAGCGGTGGACGAAACCAGGGAAGGAAGGCGGGGCTGGGAAAAGAAGAGGGCAGAAAGCGGTTTGAGCTATCAGATCACTGACTGGCAGGGACGTGAAATGTATAGAAATGAAAAACATAGTTTGGACGGTCCCCAACAGAAATAAAAGTCGCTGCAGTCATTTATTTCCAATTGAAATTGTACACTGTTAGTCTTTTGGCGGCGTATTTGTATTGCACTTTTGAGCATATGTCGCGTTTAGCGCCTTGGACAGATGGACAGAGTGTAGGCCGATTTAATAGCCTCAACCTAGCGTACGTGTAGCGCTAGTTGTTCGTTACTGTGATATATGTCTACAATCACCTACTTCTGCTTTCAAGTTTGCATGATGGGGTACCAGTGGGAAAGCTGGAACAGACACTCATGGTACTTACAATTAGTACATGGAAAGGTGTGTGTGTGTGTTTTTTTTAAGATTCGCTGTCCATACCCTTAGGAGTCGGATTCCGACAAATGATTGTCATACTCTAATGTCCCCCTGTTTACTGTATACTGTCTAAGTCAAAAAAGTCAAAGCATGGAGAAATGCACTAAAATGATCAATGAAACTGTGAACTCATTGATGTCATCAGGCTGGGTCCCACAATTCAAATTTGAGTTCTATGAAATGTACAATTTAAGCTGGTTATTTCTGACTGACACTGAGTAGTATCGAATACATGTATACCTTAGCAGTAAAATTCTGAAATAGTACAGTTAAGGATCGCCGTGACACATAGATGTTGTGGAATTTTACTGTAACACAGGCCTAATGGTTGTCGCAGATGATCGCTGATCCATTAAGATTGATTACCGGGTACATTCTGCTTAGGTACACTTGTACAAACAAGATGAAATAAAATAAATAAATGTTGTACATGTATGTGTGCTGTGCCAGCGATGTGTGTGTAAGATCTATACCAGCCGATCTCATTGGCAGCCCGCAAGATTGACTGCTGCATGACCGACGACTTGGAATTCGGCCGCGAATGCCAAGCTGAGATTTATGATCAGACTACCAGTTGCCTCCGATCCAACCATCTTTGTCAATTTCACCGGGGCCCCAACGTTGCCATTCATGGGCGTGCGTGGCGCGATTCCAAGCTGGACCATGAAGCTGAACCTCAATCAGCAATGCGTCGAGGGGAGGACGGAACAGGGCCCAGGTTGTGTGAATCATGGATCCATTTACCGTACCATTTGGCCTAGCGACCAGTGTGTGTTTTCCCAATCAAAGATGGGCGGACTTTTTTTCTCTACATCCAAATGTAATTCAGGCTTGATTCTTGGAAGGTCACGTAGAGAGGGATCGGCTTGAAAATCATGTCACATACACGTGTAAATGCTTAATAGTGTCTGATCTATATATACTCCTGTGTGAGTTTCCATTAACATTAACGAAAACAAACATAACAACAGAAATCGATTAAAACAAATAGTAGTTAAATATCTTGTCAGGGTTAGTGGTCGTTATCAGATGTAAAATAAGCAGATGATGCCCTCTGGCATTTGCGAGACGATGAAAAATTGGAGAATTGTACCCAGCATCATCAACATTGTTTTGGAGAAGGTCGAAGGAGAAAATCTGAGGACTTCGCGAAATGTGTGAAGAAATTCGGAAATGTGGAAACTTTACTGAGAGAAACTGAGAAAAACATTCGTAAGAGTTGGCAAAGCCCAGACGAATACTCAGAAGAAAAATTGACGTTATGGGTATGATGCTACGGAATCGAGCCTAATATAATTGCGTTAGATTTAGGTAACAATGTTATCGATTTTTTAAAATCTGTATTTGGGAACTTTGGCGTTTGATAGTTTTCCGTACTGATGGAGTTTCTAGTGCGGAATGATGAATTAAATGCCTGATTTATTTGTTTTGAAAGGCTCAGGTTCACAAGAAAATTTCCCGTCTTATCTTTTTGTGTCTTGAGTATTGTAATTTATGCTTTGTTTTAGAAGCCCGTTTGTAAAATTTATAACCAGTGAGCATCACGCATTCATATACATGTACTCGCATCCATAAGTTAACTGTTAACCTGACATAATAAATTATGTATATGCTGTCCTCATTTTGTTCATATTTGTTCCTTTGCAGTCAGTGCACGTGATTTTACACGTCAAGGCAATGATTTTCATGGTTTTGTTACCCTTTTCATAAACATCTCGAAACGTGTAACGATTTTTTTGGGAGTGCCCTTATACCCTTCTGTTTTTAACCTTTGACCTCCGAGGGTAGTCCTTGGGCACTGCTAACGTCAACAAGTGTAACGGTGAATAGTTCGCTGAACTTTTACATTACATGGCTCACCTTGAAGTTGTTGAAAGAATCAGTGGTATGCCAAAGCCTCAGCCGCAGTCGAAAAGCCACAGTGTTTAAATTTAACATGTAAAGTGTACATGTACATGTATATACATATACAGTGTATGTGTAGTTTTCTGACCTGTATCGCAGCGCTTTCATCTTTTAGTTTCAACTTTTTCATGTTCAAATCTAATGCCCTGTTAGAAACTTCCTTGAAATTGCCTCCTTAGCTGTAGGCCCTAAACATTTTAACAAAGAAACTTTAAATTCATAAAATGCACACATTTGCCACATATATATATAGAATATTACGAATTTACATCTTACACAACCAAAAACTCCTGCGTAGCTACATATAGGCGGGGTTGAGAAAAGAGAAAAGGGGTATAAAGCAGTTTGAGCTGACAGACCATTGGCAGGGATGTAAATTGTAAACAAAAAAACTTAGGTTGGACGGTCCCAACAAAAATACGACTATACAGTTGCTGTAGTCAATCATTTCGAATTGAAATTGTACTCTATTAGTGTTTTGGCGGCGTATTTGTATTGCGCTTTTGAGCATATGTCGCGTTCGGCGCCTTGGACAGATATTTGAAGTGTATTTTAATAGCCTCAACGTACGTGTAGCGCGTAGTTGTACATTACTGTATGTCTACGAACACGTATGCTTTTGCATGATGGAGTGCCAGTGGGGAAGCTGAAACAGATGCCTGGTGTACTACATGACGAAGTGTTTGGGTTTTTTTCTTTTTTAAAGATGCCCTGTCCATATTTGGTGAACACAGATTCTAACAAACAATTGTCATAACAGATGTACTCTAAAGTCCTCCTATATATACAGTGTAATTGGAAAAAAATAATCAAGGCATGGAGTAATGTCCTAAATTGATCTGTGAAACTATGTCATCATGCTAGGTCCCACTCTTCAAAGTTGAGTTCTTTGAATCCTTCTTAACCGTCATGCTATTGAAGCAATTTGTTGCAAAAAGCCTACAGCATCTTTAGTGATAACGAAGACATTCGGAAGAAGTGTCATTTCCTGGTATGCCTGTCAGAGTTGTTGTAGTGGGAGCGGCTGGCCAACTTCGGTTTACCACATGATGGTGATCCTTGTAATCCGTTTGACCTCCGGGACCCGTGATGTATCCTTTATCCGTGGGAAAGCTTGGGCGCGGGCGAGGCACACATGCGGGGTCGTGTTTGTTCTGAGGTTGAACATGGTTGTGTAGAGCAGATCGATTGCTCATGTGCATGTTCCCTATGCATGAGTTTTGCTTAAATTTTCTGAATGGTTAAATGGTTCTGGTGCCAGTGGAAGTCTGTCTAAACTTGAACCCCCAGTGGAAAACATCAACACCAAAGATGGGAACATGAAATAGCGGAGGTGGAAGTTATTTGAAGGCGTCGCTCGTGCCAATGCTCGTAGTCAGAAACGTTTAAGTTGCTTTAAAGGTCAGATCTGTTCCTTGCTCTATGGTCAGATTTTGCAAATACGTAAAGGTCAGAAACGTATTCTCCATCAAAGGTAACAAAAAGTGCACTTTCTAATTCGGTCCAGTAAGTGAATGCATATTGTGGAGAATGGTTTGAAGTTACCAAAGGCCAACACAAAACTATGCATCATATTATTTGAAAAATCTGTGTTCCTGTCTCTCTTGAATTTTATGACCCATGCCGAATGAGTACAAACAGGGATCATGATCGCTAACGATGTATCACTTTTATAGTAGCTTGAGGTTAATGTAGCATCCAACAAGGAATTTACAGCAGCCTGACGAAACCAAAATAACAATCTGCAGCAACTGTTGTCAGTAAACTCTGCTTCCAACGATATCCCGGTCTATTTGATCGATTTATATTAAACTTTTCCTCGACGCATGTCGCGATGTAAAATGTGATTTATTACGGCCTGTAAACCCCTTCACGATAACTGGTATGAGCAGTCGGAGGCGTTTTCCACCGCGGATCACATCCTTCAGCGTTCAAGGGCCATTTTGGTGAGATCAAGATGGCAAAAGAGTTTATTCGGTATGTAACCTGTACCTGACCCCGACGCAGTGGTCCTATATTGGCGCCATGCTGAGGCCAACACCAGGTGCTGCAAACTCATAAAATGAAGGATTCTCTTCTGTGCAACATCTACGGCAGCTTGTTGTACACGTAAGGTGTTAAAGACATCTAAGCCTAAATCTTTGTCGCTGGGGAGAATTAAGGTTTGTTTTGATGAAGTTTGCAAGTCGATCAATAAGTCGTTCGAAATCTCATATCTCTAAATATTTGTATTTGAGATTTGTATTGTTAGACCTGGTCAACAATAATCACATTTTGCCTTGCCATGCCATAGATAAATGAAAGCCTATATGCTTTCAATTATACACATTAAAAGTGCCTCCATTTTTTCAAATAAATAATTTATTAGCAATTTGTTCAAAGATGAGTTTATAATGGCTTCATACATTTTCATCAATGTTTTTGAGAACCCCCCTTTAAACTGACCACCACACCCCTGGAAGAGATAGTTTACAAATGCTCCGTATGTAAAATTTTTGATCTGTTAAAATGTGTCTGTAAAAAGTTAAATGGTTTAGAGATAAAAGCAGTGACGATAAGCCTATGCCAATGGCAGTTGGCATAATGAGGTCAGCATTATTTGTAATGGTTGCCACTCCCCCTCAAGAATTTGGCTAATTCTCACATCTCAAACAGTTGTAGATGCACACCTTAATAAACCTCTTGTTGGTTAAGTTAAACGTCTTTGCAAAGTTTTTCGCTTTTAATAGTAAAACCCTTTCCCATTATGGACTAGCCATAAACACCGGTGTCTAGACTTACCGAGGACATGGAATAAAAATCACCCATTGTTCCCTTTCTGCTCTCCTCTGTGGTGTGGTGTAACGGTGAACTTTTGTAAATCGTATTGTTTTTAGTCAGCTCTCATATTCTGTCTCGGAGCAAGGGTTTTACGTACATGTATTTCTTTGTATAGGATGGCAAGCATTGCGTTCTTCATGTTGCAAACTGCCACAGCAGTTTCCCAGCAATTTTTATCACCTTACCATAGACATATTCATGACCAAGAGCCGAATTCATGGAGGTTTACTTGCAGAGTCAAACACGCATAAGAAGAGTTTGTGCGTATAGGATTTGTAGAAACGTATTTAAACCGTAAAAAAGCTAAAGAAGTGCTCGCCGTTGGCCAAAGTTACCGAATTGTTACATGTCCTTCATCAGGATGGTGGTAAGTTGCTGTAAGGAAACATGGTGAATTTGACGTGGATGCCGTATAGATACAGTGTTCCAAGGTGGACTATAAAATTCTGCTTTCACTCTTACCATATTTCGTCAGTCTGTGTGGCTGCTGCATGCATGTATCGTAAGGATGCAGATGCCATCCTTGGGCCGGGATGGGATGGGATGTTGAAGTACATGTACTGTCCAACTGCGGTTTCGAGTCCATGCATGATATGCGCATCTTCGTCCTAACAACCATACGGACTGATGAAACGAGGAAATAGCGAAAGCAGCATTTATTTTTCCACCTTGAAACACTGTGCACGCGGCATCCAGCAACTTACATGTACCACCGCCCTGATGACGGACAAACATCCAAAAATTCGGCAACTTTTGGCAAAGGTCAGACTCAGTCGCAATTTCCCCGGGTTAATGGGCGGGCACGAGAGAGTACACGCAGAAGTCAAACACGCTTAGTTAATATTAATCTGTATTTTGGCACTTTCGTCCAGATGATACGCACATATACTAGCATAACTCTGTACGTTAAATGATGCCGTCACACGTAAATCCTAATCAACGTTTTAAGTGATTCCTGAAATTGTTATGGTAACCAAATATATACGAGGTGAAGTATGATAAACTTTTATGTTTATTTCGGGTTGATAGTCGATGTTAGCTTCTTTATAGGCATTGGTCGACAAACAAGTTCCCTCGTCCACGCCTTTTGTGTCCACATCAATTTACAATATCTCGGTTAGCGCAACTATTCACCCACAAACTATGCTATAACTTTATCATGTACAGTTACTTTCTGCTCTGATTTCTCTTTCAGCTTGCGTTGATCATCTTGACCGTGTCTGATTAGTTGGAGAACTGTTTACTTACCATCTTCCCATCACGGAAAACAGTAGGCCTACACAAAACAACCAATCAAAATGAATGGAACAAAAAGTAAGCATTCTCTGTCCCTTTTTGAAGTTACATGCAATATACATGTATTTTGTTGTATAGTGTTTGCTTGTTCAGTGTCATTATGTGAACTTCTTGTATTTTTCTTCTTGAATAGGAAGTTGGCATGTTTGAAACTAAAGTTAACCGAACATCAGCACCGCCATCTTTGTCAAACTGGTGCAAAACAATTTGATCGGCTCGAATAACCGTGGAACAATATTTACGTCACTGTACAGCTCGTGACATTGTACACAGTCAAATCCCATAAAGAAGACCATTGTTAATGCCACATTCTGTTTACCCCCTAGTCAGTTTCCCTATATAGCTTGTTTCATGTTTTGTAACAAGGAAAGTATTAGGCCCCAATCCTTTGTCCTTCATTGCATTCGTGCATTCTCGATTCAGAGAGTTGGCACAGCTAACGAATTACCACTTATCAGTTTACGTAAACATTACTAATGGGGTTTGCGATTTTCCTTTAAAGCTTTTCCCCTGTCTCATTTTTCCCTTTCTGCGTTGATATTTGCTTCATTCCCATAAACTGGTTGCACACTGAGTCGTAATTTGACATAGAGTTGGGAAAAAAGATTTCTCGCAAAAGAGGAACGAGGTACCATGCAAAGGCCTCATTGTATTCATTTCTGTGTTAATTTATCCAAAGCCGAGAATGATAAAGTTGGTGTTGTTGACGGCAGCCGGTTCATCTTTGAGGAACGTCACGTGGACGCCCAGCGGATCGATGAAGCTAACCAGCCTATGATCTCGAGCCAGCCTTCCCCGGACGCCTTCAAGCCTCGCCCCTCTCGACCGTTCCCCATCTCCAGCCGAGATGAGAACCCCAAGCGGGGCAACTGGTGGAACAAGATCGAGTTCATTTTCGCTTGCATTGCGCTGTGTTGCAGCGTTCGAAGTTTCTTTGCATTTCCCTACAGAGTCCACCGTTTTGGCGGAGGTAGTGTAAAAAGAAAAATGCTTTCATGAAATGGAGAGCCAGACCAAAAATAGCATGAATATTTTGAAGTTCTTGCACATGTAGGTCATATAGATGGTGTGGGCACATGTTCACTAAGGAAAAAATACTTCAGTGAAAAAGTAAAGCTTATTGTACACGTTTGAAGGCTTTTCGATCTTGTCTATTGTTGACCTTTTAGTTTAGTGATGCGTTGATGTAAATTAATTCGAAAACTATTTGCTGTTTTTTCGCTTACTATGTTCATATCTCCCATCTTTCTTTGTAGGGATCTTTGTGATCTTGTTTGTTCTCGCTATGATCTTCTTCACGTTCCCGTATATTGTTCTGGAAATGGCTTTGGGGCAATTCTCCAGCTCCGGTATAATATCTGTGTGGAACATCTCTCCCCTTTTCAAAGGTGAATATACATGTGCTTGTATGTACAACATTTTTGCGAGTAAAATCTTTCACATCAAAGTTTGTGTGAAACTGCTGGTGTTGTAACGTGAAAACGGAATGGAGCTTAAACAGTTTACAAAACCACCTTGCCAACAACCATCCTGCATGCCAAGTCCACCACTCTACAAAGAAATCAACGGCACATTCTTTATGGTTGAACCAACAATGGGCAGTAAGTGCCATGTGAAGTTTGATACTTTTTCAATCCTGCCAAATCCCTCCAGAGCGATTTGGATTTGGTGGATTTCAAAGGCTGCGGGAAGGTTCGTGCTCAGTGCTATTTGGCTGTTGAATACATAACAAATGCACTTGTCAAAAACAACTTTGCTTTCGCTTCCAGTGAGTAAGTTGAATTTTCCTGTAACTTTTTTTTTGCTTCTGTGTTCATTGGTTAGGATTTGGTGTTGTAGCCACGCTGTCGCTTGCATTATGGAACGTGATTACCAACGTCTTTTCATCCTATCATCTGCTATATGCCTTTATTACCATCAAATCGTCCGCAACCTCAATGAAATTACCGTGGCTGGATTGCTCAAATGCGTGGAACACCGACGGATGCTATGATATGTCCACGCAAGTCGTATTAACAACTGCGAATGCATCTGCATTGAACAACGAGGGGAGAAGTGTGAACTTGTCCTGGCAGAGTGTAGCGAGCCCTCCAGAGTACAGAGCGTTGTTCTCCGCTGCAACAGAATATTTCAGGTGTCTGTTGGCCTTGTAGCTCATTGACTCCGAATTAGCTAACGCAGTTTTAAATCTGTGCATGCATGCATCACGATATGATGAATTAAGATGGTAAGACCCGATGAGATAAACAAGTGCACGTCATGGCAACGTGACAACTCACTCTGCAATCTGAGGGCGTTTTTAAAAGAGTTGAAAATGAAATCAAAGTGAGAGTCGCTCGTGAAATTAAAAATAGCATATAGAATTGTCAGTCTTGGTTGAATAATAATTAGCTCCATACTTGTTTTGTTATTGTACGGCTTCGATAGTCCAGGTCTATTCTTGTTCATCGGTATGTAATTCAAGCACGATGTAATGTTTTTTCCAAACAATGAGAAAAATTCGAACAGTTTCTGTTCGGCGACGTGTGTAGGTCATGCTAATGAGCTAGGCATTAGCGATTGTTGGGTTTATTTATTCATTTGATGTTTTATCATTCCCATAGGTCGCAAGTCACCAATGGGAACGATGGTGACTTGACAAATATCGGTGCTCTCCAGCCAACCTTAGTCTTTGCTCTTCTAGCTACGTGGGGCTTCGTCTTGGTACTCAGCTGCATGGGGGCTAAGTGGACGGGCAAAGTAAGTTGTAGATTGGGACACTGTCTTCGAAAGTGGTAAATAGCTCTGGATACTGTTTTCAACCTTTGTTATTGCCATAGAAACGCATTTGTGTCAGTCATCAATCTTCAACAGTAATT